TTCAAGTGCACTCTTGGAATTGTTTGTTAGGCAGTTCTAAGTAACACTTAAGGATTTTACTACAAAGCAGGGAGATAGCAAATTGACATTATGCTGAAGAAACATTTTGCCCTGATTGCAAAAGAGTGAAAAACACTTGTAAAAACACTTTAAACAAATGTTTTGTGTGGGCAAGGAAAAGTCCCTCCTACCATACATAACTCGAATGCACGCTGAAATAGTTCATTGAATCTTTGAAAGGTATATTTGTTTAAAAACAATAAACACACAAACCTTACTTATGATTAAAAAAAAAAAAAAGAGGTACAATGATAGAGAAGAGGTACATTTATAAGATAAAGATAGATGCTTACAGTCAAAGGAAAGAAACAGGGGCCTCTTACCATGCACAAACATATAGTGATGATACAACTAGAAAAAAAAAATCTGCTAGAATAGAAACTGACTTGTTAATACATAATCAAAACATCAAGCTCACAGTAGCATGCGCATAGGCTAGGGTCAAAAGTGTCATGAACAATTATTATTTCATTTCTATAGTTAGCAGATACAGAGTTAACAATTTAAGATATCCAATGAAGTGAACAGTGCTTACATATTTTTCCTCTCTGATCTGTAACACTTTCTGGACTAAATATATGTTGACACACATTTATGCAGTCTCACTAAGATTACAATAAGAAGAACTAGCAAAAAGTAGGGCTGTGCTACTAAGCATATGCTTTCTGTGTTCTACTGAACTGACAGCATTAAATAGGTAATATGGCTTTGGACCAGCAAACTAGACCCTACTTTGGTTTCAACAACGAAGCTGCTAGAATAAGTATCTTTACAACTAGCAACAAAGTGGGAGACAAAGCCATATTGACTTTCAGAGGACTGCCTGTCAAAAGTACATTCTTTCCCAGGCATTTTATACACTACCTAATGGAAATACATGGATGCAGGGGGATAAAATTACTGTTCTACTTACAGTTCCACTCCAGAATCACAGTCACTAATGAAAATTTCCTCCAGAATAAATTACCTCCCTCTTGAAGCTGTCTTGTTCCAAGCCAAGATCTATTAATTCCTTCTATTAATTCCTTTCCTTCCAAGATCATTAATTCCTTCCCTGAATTCACAGCTTCAGCCATTTTGTTGCCAATTGAACATCTACCTTGAATTTTCTCTTTATGACGTTTCTGTTCAGAATTAACAACCTGATGGAGAAGTTTCACTGAATATAACCTTTCAACAGCCTCTGTATTTTCTAGTCTTTTCAATCAGTTCACTTCTACCTCCTGCTCTTCCTCTTCATGCACTCTCCTCCCTTCTTTATCTTTTCCTCCACTTCCCTATTATGACTTCTCTTTCTTTCCACACAATCGCTTTCTTATCTTTAAAAGATATTGTCAGCTCCACTTATTTGCTACACTTCCCCTTTTTTTCTGAGGCAGTCACATGGGATGCATTTCCTTGTGCTCTACAGCTCTTCTCAATCCAGATCATAGCAGGAACAGCACCCTGTAGCTACTTACAATGTTGAGAGATCTTCCAAGTCATGTAGAACATGTATTGAATCACTGTGCGATATAATCAAGTCTCTTCTCTTTAAATTGATGAGGGAGGTCGTAGGTCTCCCAGAATTTTCTCCTAATCGCAGGACCAATATTCCTTTCTAACACACTCCTGCCTTCAGTCTCTCATCATGCTATTTTTCCTGAACTTTTGCCCTAGTTTACATCCTGGCTTTTCTGTTGCCTTTACTTTTAGCAATTCTTTTGCAGGATGATTCATCTTGCTTATCCTGATGCAACCTTTCATGGGACTTGAAGAAACCTCTACTTTTCAGCATCTCCCTCTCACCACGTTATTGAATAAACACTGTTGTAATGCCAATCTCTCAGATGTAGTGATCATCTACATGACTTAACACTACCTCCCTATGACCCTCACTGTCTCTAAAGCGTATGACTATCATTCACCAGTTCAAGCTAAAGACGACCAACTTTGAGGATGAAAGAGCACTCATTAATCATCCCAAAGCAGATGTTTAAGTTAATTACACTGAATTAGCTTTTCATCTTTCCTGAAAAAAAAAAACCCAAACAAACCCTCCTAAATCTTTACTTTTGGAATTAGCAGGTACAATATCACCATTGTACTTCACACTATTCTGTCCACGTTCTAGTGTTATCTTCTACCCAGCACTGTTGTAGACTCACAGACAGTATCACTGACTCCAAGATCCAGTCTTTGTTCCTCATCTCACAGGTTTTGGATTAACTTGGCTCTCTGAACAAAACTTGTCTGTCTACAAAACACACTAGAATCCATTTACAACACTGTGACAAAGCTTAGCCTTCTCACTCTTAACTTCAGCTTAGCATATCCCCCTTTCTCACACTGTCCCCTTATCCATACCGTAAAATAAATAACTTATACTTGTGTTCTTCACAGCTGTAAGTATGTATTAATTCTTAATACCTTCCTGGTTAGACCTTCTTATGATATTCTCTGCATATATGGCAAAAGGCTGCCAACTTCCACTTACACACCTTGTTGACAGCAGCCTCTCTTACATATTATTTTGTTTTTCCAGAGTTGTATAATTGAATTCAAGAACATAAATTCAGCTGCACACTTTATATAGGAATCATATTTGTAATCGTACACATAATATTAGCAAGTGCAGTATAATATTAAAATGGAGCACTATATATTCTGAAATATCATGCATTATCATCTCTATCTACTGCCTATTGTTCTCCTTAATCCTAGACAGCAAATGAATTAAAGGCTTTTTCCAGAAAGTAAACTTAAAATATACAAAGGAAATTTGGGCTGATTTCTTGGGAGGTTCTGTATTTTTAACAATGAAATAAAACTTGCTCAGATCACAATAAAGAGTTTCTAGAATCATATACAAAAATATTACAGGTCATCATATCTGAGACTGAAGATATAACCCCAATCTGAATAGAACTATTAGAGTACAGGGTAATTACTTTAGTACTATGCATGGGAAGCAACTCACTCAAGTTTACTTGTAATTATTCATCAACTACACTTTTTTCTCACCATTTTTCTCCCTAGCCCCACCCCTCCTCAAACTTCCAAATTAAAATTTTTTTCATCCCTTCCTTTATTGGCACAATGATGTGAATGAATTTTGCGCAGTGGTAGCTGCAAGAACCTTCTGATGGTAGCTACAAGAACCTGCTAGAAGGAACTTCTTCGTTATGTAGGTTATCTATAGTTGTAACAGTTGCACTTTACAATTTATTTAAATACCCGACTGGGAAATTCCAACACAGCTTAAGAACATGCATAATGTCATAGAGGATGTACAAATACACACTGCTATGAATGGCCCAATGAAGAGTCTAAATTTCTGCAGCACACATAATTCTAGCAGTCCTTAGTGAGTTTAAGATTATGTTTGAGATGCACTACAATTCACTCAAGGTCTAAAATAACCCTATTTAGTGGGCTGTGATAAGTTTTCTAACTGAAGTATGAAACCCTTTAGAAAGATTCACATGCATATATAACTGAACTGGACAAGTACACTTGTTTTTCTTTGTCACCTTAGTCCTTATAATAAAGCCCAGGAATCTGAGAACATATAAGCATGTGTACATAGACTACTAAAGAAGTGTCAAGGTAATTAAGCCAACAATAATCTCCCATTCAGGGTTTCACCTACGCTACTTGAAATTAACCACCATAATAACTTTACTAGATTTTTATCATATTATATTTGTAATACCTTTTTTTATAAAAATGCGGGCACATTAATATTGGTCAAATGGTCACAATATTAAAACTGTATGAAGGTCTTGCACATGCTTTAGGCATCTTATCTCACTCCCAGTGAACCCAAACTTATAAAAACGTGAACTGAAATTTGCTTAAGAATTAGGGCTTTATAGCGGTTCAGCAGATATGTTCTTTACAATAATTAAATGGAGGGGAAAAGAAGCAAAAAAGAAACAAACTTGTTACTGATGATTGTATGTTTCATAAACTTTTCTCAGGCACGCATTTCTCTACACTTGCTGATTAGAAAGCTTTAAAGTTAAAAAAAAATTATGCATTTCCAAGGAATCTGAAACATTAGTCATTGTTTATACAGTATTTATGTATGTGTTGTACCACTAGATCAGCACTATGTGTTACTATTTAACTATATAGATTAATTATTTTAGAAAATAAGTGTACTTGAACACCCACTAAACTCTAAGGACTACTCTGCAACTTAGACTTTGCCACGTATGCTTTGGGAATAGCTCATAGCACTGAAAGACACAGCATTAATGAACAGATGCACTACTTAGAAGCAAATTACTCAGAATCGTGTTGAGTGCCTATAAAAAATAAACATAATTACAATGAAAATGTTCAAAAAGGAAAGTAGGTATATAGGGCTCAGGCAACAGTCATGCTTGTCCATATATTACAATCCTTATTGTAAAAAGACAAATGGATAACTGATAGGCTCAAAAAGATATACAGCTGTGATTTTTGTTTGGATTCTTCCCCTTTTGTAGAGAAGCAACTTTAAATCTATATTGACAATGCAAGAAGCAATCCAATGTTATTTCACCTAGTTTAAAAGTAGCCCAGCTCATTTCAAAATGCTCAGTATACACACATTGTTTACATACATTATGAGAGTATTCCTGCAATATGCAAAATATAATGATTACTTGCTAAAGTTTATCAAATTGGTACTTAAAGGAACAACAAAAACACACATAGAAGTATAGATGAATGGCATCTGTCTTATTCTCTCAAGGAAAAGCAGTAGTCACACTAATCTCTTAGCATATATTACACACACACAGAAGCAGATCTACAAACCTATAAAAACATGTGGTCACCCACCGTATAGAAAATTCTCAGTTACTCTTTTCTACTGCACTGGTAAATCAATATAATTCACTAGTAAGTGACCTAAACATAGCCGGGACAGAAACAAATTAATACGATTCTAAAAACCTCCAGGCACTCACCAAAAGACTGAATGCAGGTTTCAAGAAGATCTTCCAAGGTGGCCCCTTTGGCTAAGTGCCCCAACGGCACCATCGTGACCTGCGCGAGATTTGAAAGGCTGGGAGAATGACTGATCTGCTTCAGCTCCAGTGCTGATTCAGGGGCAGTGCTGCATGCTTGGACAGGTTGCCTAAAAGAAAGCACAATAGCAAAGTAAATATGAGAAGATGGAGTGGTAAATTTTACACTGCATGAGAAAGGAGGAGAGATTTAAAGGATAATTAACTCCCTGTAGCTACGGTGGTGCTCTAAGAGATAACCCTCCCACTTAATACGTACACCGAAGAGACTGCTCAGTAATTGACTTTTTTTTTCCCCTGCTAAATTTGGATTATAGAGCACACGGTTAGAGAGCTCCTTGAATGATCTGTAAAGATTACCAGAAGTCTTGAGTCTTTGTTGGGGAGTTACGATTACAGCACAAGCATAAAAACTCTTCAAACTATGTAACGGGAATATCGGCATGCAGTAATCTACCCCCACATATTTGTGTGCCCACAAAAAATAAAGAAGAAAAAAAATTATAGCTATAAAAAATATTACACACATTGGAAAACACCAGCCTAGTTTTATTAATTTCATTTGGAAAATCACTATTAAGCAAACAAAATATCAATGCAACTTTACAGTGGAGTATTTAATAATTTTTAAAAAAAGATTAATTCGCACTCATTCTATATTATTTCCTACAAAGTTGTTTTACAGTTGCAGACACGACTAAACTAATGTTTTAATAATAAAGGTAAAAGAGACCAAAATAAAGCATATATCTAGTTATAGGCTTGTATTTTGATCATATAATATCTTAGATTTCAAAAATGTGTATGTTTACAGATAATATTAAAGGCTGTTGATTGTCTGCACACAAGTTCATAATTCTGTATGAAATAGTAAATAGGCACATTATTATGTCGACAAAAAGTGCTGAAACATTTTGTTTCCAGCAAGTAACAGGAACCAGTTCAAAATCTGTCTTGAGCACAACCATAGAGTTCACAAAAAGGCAACAACCACTATTGTTTCAATACAACTTGGGTTTATTCAGGGGCAATTTACACTCCACAGTCTTCCTAAACAAGTGACTCCAGCATCTTTAAGATGCTATCTTAAGCTTTCTTAAACTTTTCTTGGAAGACTACACAAGACTATCAATAAACTGACACTCCTGGGAAGAAAAGGCACAGAAAGGTACCCGGTATGTATGTTACATACAGATAGGGAAGGTAAAGACACAAACATCCCCGTACAGGTACTCCTGGATGAAGGTGGAAATATACACGGCTTACAAAGACAGACCAGACCCTACCCCATCCCGGTGAATTTCAAACCTTATCTTAAATTTTTGTCTCGTTTGAATGCTAGGAAAGCCACAAAATTGTATGTGACGTCACTTACAAGCCAGAACTGACCCCAGGCCCCGCACTGTTTTGGAAAAAAAGTTGGGAAAATCCAAGCTTGACCCTGCAGAGGCAGTGACCATCACTCAGCTCCTCCGTAGTTAAGCTGACAGCGGCTATGCAAAGAATGTTCTCTTCTCTTCCCTTCCCCCTTTCTCTAAATTTCTCTTAGCTTGGTGATCCGACTTCCTGTTCTCATATAAAAAGACCAAGGGCCCGAGCAACTTTCAGGGTTTTCTTTTTACAAGCTTAAACCCTTCTCCTAACTTTTTTCCAGCGCCTCTTTAACACAGGGCAGAGGCTCCCAGCAATAAAGGAATCACGGCAGAACAGATCTCAGGTGATGGTGACACAATGTAGAAAAACCTGAAGCGTCCGCACCCCAAAAAAAGTTTACCATAACACTGCGGCCGACTTAGCAACACTGGACAGGGAAACTCCACGGGTGAGACGCCCGAAACTAACGATTCATTAGCACAGATCCCCTCGCAGCAGTTATTTGACACGAAAAATAGATAAAAGCTGTGCTGGAGAGGGCGGCGGGGAGGGACGGGAGGGGGGGACGACACGGGGGGAGACCAGCACCCCGCCTTTCCACCGCACGGTGGGGAAGATACCACAAAGGAACGGCCACCAGCTCGGGAACTGGCCCCCGGGGCAGGGGGACCACCAGCCTTACCCGCCGGGCTCGGCCGCAGCTCCCGCCCGCTCGCCCTCCTTTCCCCCGGCTCCGGGCACACCGCCGGCCGCCCCGCAGGTAACCGGAGCCCGCACCGCCGCCCCTCCCGCTTCTTTTCCCCCTCTCCTTCCCACCTGGGAGGGCACCGTCCGACCCCCACAGAGCCCCAGCCGCCCCGACGACCGCTCCCCACGGAAACCCACCCCAGCCCCGCCGCGGGAGCACCACGGCGGCCGCACATCGCCCCGGGGCGGGCACCCCCGGATCACCCCGAGACCCGAAGAGCAAGGGGGAACTCACTGGTTTTCTCTCCTCTTTCCTAAGGTTCCCATGTCGGTGGCAGCCGCGGCTCCGCCGCCCGGCCGGCTCCGCCAGCAGCGCAGGGCGCGGGGCGACGCGGGGCGGAGGGGGCCGGGGGGAGCATCGCCTCCGCCCGCCTCGCCGCTCTCCCGCTCCCCGTCTCGTCTCGGGAGGGGCCTGAAACCGATTCAAGTGGGGCAGCGGCGGCGGCAGCCGCCACCCGTGACGAGCGCAGATCTTATCGGCAGAAGGAAGTACTGAGCTGCTGCCGGGCTGCTCTTCTCTGAAGCCGCCGGATTTACCAGGTACCGAAACGCGCTCAAGCCGCCAGGCTGTAGAGCTGCCGCAACTTTTTCCACGGCCCAACTCCCGTTAGGGCAGGGCAGGGCAGGGCAGGCTCTCTCCCGAGGGCAAGCCCCCTCCCCACGCGTGCAGAGGCGCCGGGGCTCACGCGTGTTCCTCGCAGCTAACCGGAGGGGCCGGCCCGCCGCCCTCGCTGGCCGGGAACAGCCGCCGCCGGGGCACCTGTGCCGGGGCGGGACAAGCGCAGCCGAGCTGCGGGCCGAACCGCCCCCGGCACGGCCACACCCCGCCACCGGACCCCACTCCCCCCCGCTCCACCCGGCTACGTGACCGCGGGTGGGGTGGACCCACGCGCGGCCCGGGCCCCCGCGCGCTGATTGGCTGGCTCTCCGAGGGGCGGGGGGTCGGAGGGGCCGGGGGGGGACATGGCGAGCGCTTGCCCTGGCGAGTGGATGGGAAGGCCCCGGGCGGGAAGGGGCAGGGGCCTGGCGGGAGGCCTTTCGGAGGGTCAGCGGCCCGGGTTGTTCCCCGCCGTGGTGCCCGCAGCTGGCGGTAAACGCTGGGGTGGGGGGCACAAAACTGAGACACCCACCCTCACCATTACTGTTTTTAAAGCCCCTGTGCTTAATTGGCGCCTTACGCTCCCCCCCCAGGTTTAGTCGCAGAGCAAGGAAAGGGGAGCCTTTGGGTTGCATAGCCCTTGTATCGCAATTAACAGCCTCGCAGAGCTCGTCCAACTCGACGGTGACAGCTCCTCCACTTCTGAGGAGAAATTCCCGCCGCGGGAGCACCACGGCGGCCGCACATCGCCCCGGGGCGGGCACCCCCGGATCACCCCGAGACCCGAAGAGCAAGGGGGAACTCACTGGTTTTCTCTCCTCTTTCCTAAGGTTCCCATGTCGGTGGCAGCCGCGGCTCCGCCGCCCGGCCGGCTCCGCCCGCAGCGCAGGGCGCGGGGCGACGCGGGGCGGAGGGGGCCGGGGGGAGCATCGCCTCCGCCCGCCTCGCCGCTCTCCCGCTCCCCGTCTCGTCTCGGGAGGGGCCTGAAACCGATTCAAGTGGGGCAGCGGCGGCGGCAGCCGCCACCCGTGACGAGCGCAGATCTTATCGGCAGAAGGAAGTACTGAGCTGCTGCCGGGCTGCTCTTCTCTGAAGCCGCCGGATTTACCAGGTACCGAAACGCGCTCAAGCCGCCAGGCTGTAGAGCTGCCGCAACTTTTTCCACGGCCCAACTCCCGTTAGGGCAGGGCAGGGCAGGGCAGGCTCTCTCCCGAGGGCAAGCCCCCTCCCCACGCGTGCAGAGGCGCCGGGGCTCACGCGTGTTCCTCGCAGCTAACCGGAGGGGCCGGCCCGCCGCCCTCGCTGGCCGGGAACAGCCGCCGCCGGGGCACCTGTGCCGGGGCGGGACAAGCGCAGCGGAGCTGCGGGCCGAACCGCCCCCGGCACGGCCACACCCCGCCACCGGACCCCACTCCCCCCCGCTCCACCCGGCTACGTGACCGCGGGTGGGGTGGACCCACGCGCGGCCCGGGCCCCCGCGCGCTGATTGGCTGGCTCTCCGAGGGGCGGGGTGTCGGAGGGGCCGGGGGGGGACATGGCGAGCGCTTGCCCTGGCGAGTGGATGGGAAGGCCCCGGGCGGGAAGGGGCAGGGGCCTGGCGGGAGGCCTTTCGGAGGGTCAGCGGCCCGGGTTGTTCCCCGCCGTGGTGCCCGCAGCTGGCGGTAAACGCTGGGGTGGGGGGCACAAAACTGAGACACCCACCCTCACCATTACTGTTTTTAAAGCCCCTGTGCTTAATTGGCGCCTTACGCTCCCCCCCCAGGTTTAGTCGCAGAGCAAGGAAAGGGGAGCCTTTGGGTTGCATAGCCCTTGTATCGCAATTAACAGCCTCGCAGAGCTCGTCCAACTCGACGGTGACAGCTCCTCCACTTCTGAGGAGAAATTAGCGAGCAGAAAGCCCGAAATGGGCAAAGTGACCCCAAATCCTATAACACAGTTTGACCAAAGTGGGTTTTCTGTTGAGAAATAAGTTAAATGAACAGTACAAAAGTGCTGGGTCACAGGGCACTTTGGCTGCTGCATTGTCAGCAGCGTGTTCGGAGAGCTCAATTCACCTTCTAAAAAATCACTTAGGCATCATAATGCTGTCACACCTCACACGGAGCTCCAGACAGTTTTCATAAACTGTTCCTTTAATTTTTTAGATTAACTGCTAAGGTTCAGGTATTCAAAGCGATTCTCTGAACAACAACCAGGGCACATTTCTCTTTAGGTCTCCCAAATGGTGGATTTTGCGAAGGACGCCGCTCACTGGCATTTCCTCAGAGGCAGTGGTAGCCACCATTATCACAAGAGGAGCTGTGCCCACCTGACCTGTGCTTTGCTGAAGACCTCCAGGGAAAAGGAAAAATCCTACATACTCCTGGAAATCACATCAGTGATTCAGTAGGTGGCATTCTTCTGAGTAAGTTTTAAGCTCATTCCTAGCTTGTGATGGTCAACCAGTGAAGGTCACTGTGGTTGAGAAAGAAATACAAATACATTAATATATACTCAGGACCACAGCTCATGTGGTCTGTGGTATTATCTGTAGCAATTACATTGTTAAGCCAATCTCCTGGCTGAATTCTACTTCAGAGAAGTACATCCCAGCTGTCTTTGATTTTCTTTAACAAAGTTTTCCTTGAGAAGTTCATGTGTGTGCATACATGCACCAATAAATGGAGGTTTGACAGAAAGAATGCTCTCTAGCTTTGTGGTCAGAAGGTATTCTGTGTGCAAATCTTACAGTACACAATCTCATACAACAATCCAATTGCAATTTACATGACCACACAGCAGTCTGACATACTGATCCTTGAAAGTGACATTCTTCAGATGACATGGTCTCCTACTGTAAAGTAGATTTGTGCCTGTTTTGTGTCCTCAGACGATCAGAGATTTGCTCTGTGGAAAGGCAAGATACTTCTACTGTTCTCAGAGCTTCAATCAGTAGATGATTACTTTAAAATACAAGCTGTGATCCAAAGGAGCCATGCTAACAAAGTTGCAAGGTGAGAGTGACTAGCATGGGCCATATTGCTCCCAAGGGACTTGACCAGTGATGCGTTTTTATGCTGTTGTGCTCAGATTCCTGGAAGATCTTGCATCAATAGTAACTTATAAATTGGATTTCACATTTGGAACCATGTGAAGGAACAGACTCACTGCTTCAGAGCAAGCCAGATGTTTGAAGTTCTGTTGTACTGCAAAACATGCCTTTCTCCCTCTAAGTGCAAGTCCACAAACATAGGTTGGCCTTGAAGCAGAGTGAAAATAATTTTCTTGAGCTGTTCTTTCACCTATACTTTAAGCTCATTTAACTTGACATCTTTCCTGGGTCTGTATTCCTGCTCTTTACAATGGGCCAACTAGCGGAGTTTGTACAACCACTCGGTGACTTGCACACAAAAAAGAACCACAGCAAAAAACCCAACCCAACTAAAAATGATCCATGTTCTGCCAGACAGTGTCAATTATTTGATTCGCCACCCACTCATAATAGCTCAACTGCTGCCACAACCAAATAATGGCAAGACAGCAAGATCACAAATTTTTCCAATAACTTTCACTTAGAGCTGTTTTACATAGATCATTGTAAAATCATTGTTGGTGAAAGTGTCAATTTCCATTACAGCTAGTAGAGCATTTCTAGTGTCTTGCTGCAAGCCTGGGTCATAACTTTTGATCAGGATGATCTAGGCTTTGGGTGCTTTCACTAATTTATCAAACATTTCTATTTTTGGAAAGTTGTGGTGCTAGTGAAGGTTTTGGTCTGATAACCCCATTGAGGCTATCAGACCATGGTAATTCTCTTGCTATTTTTCTCTTGATGCACCTTTGCCATAGTGGCTAGGGATGGAATGTTCCACTTTGTGTTGCAATGTGATCAGTAACAGTGCCAGTTTTTGTGACTACCACAAATATCTTCCCTCAATGGTGCATGTTCTAGTGTGACTTTTTGGACAACTCCAGCTTTCATTTATAAGTAGGAGGCAATAAAACTCATATTCATGATTGCAGAATGGGACTTGAAATTGTAAGACTGTACGATTGAGGGAGTGGATAGTAAATTAAGAAGATTGTGAATGCTCTTGTAAAACATCATCTTTAAGTCAGGTTGAAAAAGACTGGACTAATCTTACTTGAGCACTTTGGGTTGTCAATAAGGTACCTCTGAGGTTCCAGCTTTTCTGTAAGAACATAAGGCATTGAGAGCACCCAGTAGCCACTGCCTTCTTATGTTTAAGGACCACAGGTTTGTGTACATTATATGCAAGACATCTTATGAAGGGAGTAGCTGTCCTACTAACAGATCTACCTGTCCAATCTACCTCTTTATTGATACTTCTTCTGTAAAGGTTGTTTCGGTTAAACTTTTTAATGTCCAGTGGTCAGCCTTGAGCTGAACAAGGTGGAAAAGATTCAAGACCAGAGTTCATGAAAGAGGAAAGGCAAATTCTCAGGCAGATCTAGAACTACTAGCAAGCACTTCCCTGCAGAACCTAGCATGTAGTACCTGATCTCACTGGTTTTGGATTTTTCCAGAGCGTTCTTAGGTTATTTGCCAGGCATGAGCTCTCCACCACTCTCAGTGAACACTCAGGCAGATCTTTTCTTGTTTCAGTTTATTGGTTGTCTCTCATACTCCTGCCATGCACTACCAAGAAGAAGCTGGCTCCATCTCAATAACCTTCTCAGAAGTAGTGTCAGTCTGCTATCACACCCACCCTGACGCCATCTCTTCTCCAGGCTGAAGAGGCCCAATTCCCTTAGCATCTCCTCACAGGGCAAGTGCTCCAGCCTCTGACAGTCTCAGTGGAGTGGTGACCTTACTCCAGTTTGTCAAAGTCCACCTTGTGCTGGGGAGCCTGGAACTGGACTTACTCTGAAGAGTGCCGAGCAGAGGTGGTGTAATCACTTCCCTCAATCTGCTGGCTCTGCGCCTGTGCATACAGCTCAGGGTGTTTTTGGCCTTCTCTGCTGTCAAGGCACACTGCTGGCTCGTGTGCTGCTTGCTGCCTGCCAAGACCTCCACCTCCTTTTCAGCAGTGCTGGTGGGTCTCCAGCCTCCAATGGTGCGAGGCGTCTCTTCCTTCCCAGGTGCAGAACAATGCATTTGACCTTGCTGAATTTCATAGAAGTTCCCATCAGCCCATTCCTCCAGCATGTCTAGGTCTCTCTGGA